TAATCCAGGCCAGCCTTCTGAAAGTCCCATTCCCCTTGGGAAGAAGTCTTGAATTCAAGTCTTCATCCTCCTCTCCCAAAAGGAGGGCCTCAGGACCCCCTCCACCCTCCTTCCAGTTCTGCCCAAATCTTCCTTGTACCTCACTCTTCTTCCAGTCTCACAGTTCCTCATTTTTGACCTAACTTTTCTCTCCCATATCTGGCCACAATTAAGTACTAAAGTGCATTTCAAATAGTAAAGCTCAAATTCAAAAGGAACTTCAATTGTAAAATGTTTACAAAGTCATTTAGAGTCATTCAGCTGTATTACTGCATGAAAGCAAGACATCATCAATGTAAACACGCTTGTGTGCACATGCTAAGGAAAAAATGCTGGAAAACTGTTGAGGCGTTTGGGGGTGCCCTGTTGTGCTCCTGTATTTTCGTTTGTTTAAATCGTGATGAGAGCAATTTTCAACCTTGCGCCGGTGGTGCTGCCAGTTGCACCCAGGTATGAAAGAAAAGAAAAGATTAACCGAGGCAGGCCGAAAAGCCTAACCACTGCCAAGCCGGCTGGGCCCGGCCCTAAAAGATTGACCCAGGCTGGTCCCGCCCTCGGCCCCGCCCCGCCCCGCCCGCGCCAGGCCCTACCCTGTCCTTTCCATAGAGGTGTGGAGCCCCCCCCCCAGACTCCTAGAGAGGAGACGCGCCCTGCCCTGCCTTGCCCCTCGCCCCTGCCCTGCCCCTCGCCCCTGCCCTGCCCCTCGCCCCTGCCCGCCCCCCTGCCCTGCCCTGCCCCGCCCCTTGCCCCCTGCCCGCCCCCCTGCCCTTCGAGGTGTGAAGACCTCCAGACTCCCAGAGAGGAGACGCGCGCTGCCATGCCCGGCCCGGCCCCTGCCTTTCCATAGAGGTGGGGAGCCCTCCTGACTCCTATAGAGGAGACGCAGGCGCAGAAGGCAGGCTTCCCCGGCGGCTACTTCCGTCCGCGCGGGCCTGGCGCGAGTGCGTGGAGCGCGCGGGCGTTGCGGCCCTGCTTCCTCCTGCGCTCCGGTC